CAGAAACCACATTTGACGCATCCTTTTATACTCATGGGAGGAAAAGGCACCGTCCTTTTCTGAACTCTGGACTCAGGGATCCCCATGCAGCCCAAACTACAGTTTCGAAGTTTTGCAAGCCGGGTTTGGCCAGGCGGGCTTGCAAAAACCAGGGCCGCCCTCATATAACATGCCGTGCTATCTCACACTGAAAACATACAATAAAATGGTGAAGGTACTTGGCTAGAAACCAGGAGACCATCAGCTCTAGTCCTCCCCTAGGCATGAAAGCCAGCTGGTTGATTTTGGGCCAGCTGCTCTCTCTCAGCTCAGCCCACCTCACAGGGCTGTTGTTGTGGAGAAAAGAGGAGGCGGGAGGTTTTAGGTACATTTGCCACCTTGAGTTTAAAACAGTGGGGTAAAAATATAACAACAACAACGTCTGCCTATCCCAGGCCTTTGGGAGGGATTCGACAGGTGGATAAAAATGCCAAATCCAGCCTAAACATATCAATAATAACAATAATAATAATAATAATAATAATAATAATAATAATAGGTTCCCTGTAACATTGGCTGAATGACTTTGGGCTAGTCCCTTTCTCTCAGCCTAACAAACCTCACAGGTTTGTTGTTGCGGGGAAAGTAGGAGGCAGGAGTTTTAGGGACATTTGCCACCTTGAAGTATATATAAAAATAGGCGGGATAAAATAAAATAATAATAATAATAATACAAACACACACACACACCCCAAGGGCTCCTCTGGCCCTTTTCAACTGTAGGCCCCTCTGATACGAGAGAAGCCAGCTTCACCTGGTGAATGCCTGCTGGTTGGCCTGAAGGTTCAGAAGGAGCTTGACCCGCAGGCAGGCAGACGCTCAACAGGTGAAGCTACCTCTTCGCCACCCTCCGTTGCCGGGGAGGGCTCGACCTGGCGAACTCGCACCTAAGCCCCGGACCGAGCCGGCCAGGAGGCGGCTGACCTTCCCGGGGCTGCTGACGAGGCCCGCGGGGAGCCAGGCCCCGTCAGAAGGGGGGCCCGCGCCCCACCCCGCGCCCCTGGAAGTTCGCCAGGGGAAGCTCGACGCGTCCTTTAGCCTGTGGAAGGCAGCAACCCGACCGCGCGAAGGGAAGCCTGCCAAGGGCTGATGCCGACGAGCCGGGGCGGGCCCGGCGCTTCTCCCCCCTCAGCCCGAAGCCACCCCCGGAGAGAAGCCCCGCAGCCCGCCGCCCCAGCCCCGGCACCTCC